CAACCCCCAAATCCTGGGAACCTTAGCTACACCTACCCTCTTCTGCCCTGCCCCAGTATAGGCCCTTTAATTAACCAATCAGGTAGATGTACATAACAAGGATAGGTGTAACCAGATCCTGAAGGTGAGTAACACATATCAAACCAACCTCCAATAGCTAAAACAAAACCAAATTCAAACCAAAACAAAAAACAAAAACAAAATACCTGTAAGTTTTGAATGAATAATGGAAATGTGGAATGTATACACAATGGACTGCAACTTGGCAGTTTAAAAAATTAAAATTTCAAGTACTAAATGGATTGTGTCTGTCCTGCTGTTGTTGCCATGACTGCACTACCCCTCACTGACATCAGAATCTGGCTTTTTTGGGCTTCCAATGTAGACAAAGATCAGTGGCTCTCTAGGAATCCTTCCAGCCTTCAATACCATATTGGGACTGCTGAGGCCTTCAGTCTCACACCTATACTCTCTCTACCTAAGGCAGCTTTGCTGTCTTCTGGGACAGTTTCAGTTGGCCTGAATTGTAGCAATCTGCATCGTTAACTATGTCATCCTAATTGCAATGATGCATTTTAGAAGATGGTTGATAAAGAAGAGCAAGAGGTGATGCAGGATGCTGTGTTCCCAGTGTTCAGGATTAGGACCTTAGGGTTGAGATGTCTACATTCTTTTCAGTACTCACAGTAGTGATCTGAAATCTATAATCATGCAGAGTTGGGTGGATATTAGCTTGAAGGACAGACATGAATATGATATAAACATGAGTCAAGGGCTTGGAGACTCCACGCAAACCTACTTCTCTGTGCCAGGAGTCTTGCATAAGGCCCATTTCATGATACTGTTTTATTGAAATGAAATTTTGAATAGTTCAGAAATGGACTATTTAAATTAGGAATTAAATCCTAATTACATTAGGATTCAGTTATAAGGCCAGTCTACTGAAGCCTGGGGAGGGAACCTAAGAATAATTAGAGCACTCAGCTCAGAGAAGGTAGGCATTCCCCCTACTACTTGGTTCATAATCTGGAGCATAAAGTGATTAAATAGCAAGTCTTTAAGATATCTTTACACCCCTCCATTTCCAGATGAATGTTTAATTATATTATATTATATAGCAGATGTGCAATGCACATCTATGGAAAAGTTTGAAATGCCCCATCTGCTGGCTTGAGAAAAAGGGAGGGATACCAATGCTTCAAAGATCAGGCGGCAATCCAAGAGAACACACAGAACACTCAGCCTGCGGGGACAGATAGAAGATGCTCCTGCCACTTACGCTATCAATGTGAGCAGAAGTCTGTAGAATTTCACAAAGAAAGTGGTATGGGTGAATATTGAGAAGTACAAATTCACAGCCTTCCCCTTTTTATTTATTTATTACAATTTATTCACTTTTTATCCCAGCTGTAGCCTCCTCTCTCATCCCTTTCCAATCCCACCTTTCCCCTTTCTTCTCCTCCCACTCCCCTCCCCAAGTCTAATGACAGAGGAGGTCTTCTTCCCCTTCCATCTGACCCTACCCTATCAGGTCTCATCAGGATTGGCTGCATTGTCTTTCTCTGTGAGCTGGTAAGACTGCTTTCTCCTTAGGGGGAGGTGATCAAAGAGCCAGCCACTGAGTTCATATCAGAGACAGCCCCTGTTCCCCTTACTAGGGAACCCACTTGGAAACTGAGCTGACATGGGCTACATCTGTGCAGGGGGTCTATGTCCTCCCCATGCATTGTCCTTGGTTGGAGCATCAGTCTCAGAAAAGGAAAAACAAAACAAAACAAAACAAAAAACCCGGGGCCCAGATTTTTGGTTCTGTTGCTCTCCTGTGGAGCTCCTGTCCCTTCCAGGTCTTTCTATGTCCCTCTTCTTTTATAAGATTCCCTGCACTATGCTCAAAGTTTGTCTATGAGTCTCAGCATCTGCTTCAATACCCTGCTGGGTACAGTCTTTCACAGGACCTCTGCCAAAATATGCTCAAGTATACAACAGCTGTGGGGAGCCTTCTGGCACCTTGCTGCCCCCTGAATTTTTGGCATCTGGCCTGATCTGGCTTAATGGCCTACTGCTTGGATACAATAGTGCATTCCTGGCTGACCTGAGACTTGCGATAAGATCATCTTCTTGAAATACCTTAAACCCTCCTCTCCCTCGGGGCTTCCCAAGTAACACTTCTGAGGAACTTTCCAAACAACCATTATAAGCACATCTTGTGATTTCTCTGGTGCATCATCCCGTGGTTCCTAGTCACTTAGTGACCCTGCCAAAGGCAATTACATTTCTTTTGCCCTACCTATAAAGTTGTATGAAAAATTTGAATAAACTGAGATCTTGATCAGAGAAACTGTCTTGGTCTTCATTTCTCGAGAATCTCTTGTCCCTTTCCGTTCCCACTCCCCCATTCAGGGTCTCCGTTGACAGACCTGCAGGATGGGTCAAACAGCAGCTTATTCGTAATAAGCAGAATGTAGAAACAACCCAGATGTCCCTCAACTGAAGAATGGATACAGAAATTGTGGTACATTTATACAATGAAATGCTACTCAGCAATTAAAAACAAGGAAATTATGAATATTTCAGGCAAATGGATGGACCTAGAAAAGATCATCCTGAGTGTGGTAACCCAGAAGCAGAAAGACACATATGGTATATACTTGCTTTTCAGTGGATTTTAGACATAATATAGGATAAACATAAAATCTGTACACCTAAAGAAGCTAAGCAAGAAGGAGGACCCTGGGTAAGATGCTCAATCCCCATTCAGAAAGGCAAATGGGAGAAAACAGGGTACAGGACAGGAGTCTACCACAGAGGGCCTATGAAATTCACTGTCTTTGAAGATGCTACTACTTTCAAAATATTGTGGATTCAGAATCACCTAAGTAGTAAAGACACCAGAAAAGGGTCTTGGGAGAAAACTTCTAACATAAGATGGTATAGGGCAAGTTCTTGTGGGACCAAAGATAATCTTTTAACACAAAAAAAGGAAGGTGATCCAGACCTTAGCTGCCAAGTCGTCACCTAATAAGAAGGCACTCAAAATTGAGCCTAGAACTGGCCATTTGTACTTCAGGACACATCAATACTTTGTGAAGTTTTACTTGAAGTATCAGCTTAGCCATTTGGAATAAAATTGTTTGTATCTTAATTTAAAAAAAAAGTTAAACAGTACAACTGAGTATCATAAGGTGGAGACTCCTGACATAAGCTCACCTCTACCTGTTATAGTTTAGGTGTTGGTGTGCAGTCAGGAAAAGGGCTAGGCTAAATGGGAAATCTTCAGAACAGAATGTTTCCTAATAAGATGTATTTCTGTTTCTGTGTTATTAACACAATACAAAAGCATGAAAGTCACAGGCAGGCCATGCCCTGGGAAAAAGGGTGGATAGCCCATGACTGCATCTTATTTGCCTGAGGCTTAAGACACTTCCCATCAAATATTCAATAAGGATTCAGATGTATGACCTATTAAGCATTGGTAAGATAATGTATGGGCCTTGGAGATAGTTCTTAAAGTTAGCAAAGGTGACTAGATCCAAACTTTATGAGCAACACCAGACAGAACAGCTAAAATAACAAGAAATAACCACAAGCTTAGTTTATTCTTCACAACTGTTTAGGTAGCTACAACTAGAAGACCTTGGTCTTGGGTGGGATATATAATTTGTGTTTATCTAAATTGACCAATAACAATACTAATGATTACTCCATTAAATTAACATTTATGGCACAAAGTTAACACCAAAAAAACTAAACTAGAGGCTGAAGAAATGGTTCTGCTGTTGAGTGCTTGCTGTTCTTGCAGAGGACCAGAGTTCTATTCTCAGCTCTGACATCAGGTGGTTCACAACTGCTGGTAACTCCAGCATTAGAAATCAGGCACCTTTGTCTGGTTCACACACACACACACATACACAGAGGGGGGGAGAGAGAGAGAGAGAGAGAGAGAGAGAGAATTTTTAAAATTTAAAACCGTAATTCAGAATTACAAACAATCCAACAACTCTCTGGCCTGTATCTCTAAAGAAATGTAAATAAACACTTCCACACTCAGAGAAGCATTATTCACAACAGCCAGGCACTGAATCAAGATATAAGATATAAGATGAAGAAAATGTGAGAGAGAAATCTATAGTAGGGTACCATTCAACCTTAGTATCTGTGTTAATAAAGTTGAGCCTAGAATATTGTTAAGTGAAATGAACCAGACTGAAAAAGGCAGGTGCCATGTGATCACATTCAAACATGAAGTCTAACAAACCAAACTTTGTTGAAGAGTAAATTGGGAGTTTCTATGGTTGAGGGCTGGAGGTAAGGACAATGGAGTGTGTTGACCAACAGCACAAAATTAATTAGAACACATTTCAAGACCCATTATGCAGAATATTGATTGCAACAAATAATAATGCATACTTCAAGTTTGCTAAAAGAGTACAACTGAAGTGTCCTTACCACACAAAAGTATATGAGGTGGGGTTAGCAGACTTGACTTAAACATTCTTAAATGCAAACATATTTAAAAATAAATTCCTGTAGTTGTTTTTCAACTTTTTTAAAGAGTGATTTTCAAAATGACCAAAACATTTTCTCAGAACTTTTTTTCTCATTTGAAAAGTTCTTTTTATATTTTGTTGTTGCTTGAGATGGATCTTTGTGTTGTCTATGCTAGTCTTGAATGCCTATGCCTATGTTCAAGCAATGTTCCTGCCTCAACCTCAGTAGTGCTGGGACCACAGGAGTGCATCACCATAGCAACTTAAAGTGTATTTCTCGAGAGATGGCCAACTACTGTTGCTAAAAGTTCATAAAGGGGGCAAGAATGAATAAGCATATGTAGGTAAAGACTCTCCCTTCTTCCTCTGCTATGAAGACACCTATTTTCTGCCTTAGGTGCAAGCAATGCCACTAGTTCTTCATGTGTGTACCCTTCCAGAGAGATTTTACAGATACAAAAGCAATTTGGGTCTGTCGAGGGGGGGGGGACATAATTATTATCACCATTTTTCAAAATTATGGAATGTGTTGCAATTTTGTATGTCTTCCCTACTCAGGGGCTTTGCTAAATTTCTTTGTATTGATCCAAGTTTAATATATGTGCTGTTGAAGTCAGCATTTTCTCCAGTTTTTGTACAAATGGTGGTAGCTTAGTCACTGTTCTATTGTTGTGAAGAGACAGTATGACCAAGGCAACTCTTATGAATGAGAAAGCATTTAATGGGGGGAGGTTCTTACAGTTTCAGAGGCTTTGTTCATTATCATCATGGCAGAAAGCATGGTGTTAGAGACATGCAGGAGGAGTAGCTGAGAGTTACTGATCCCTAGACAGAGAGAGAGAGAGAAATCCTAGGCCTGCCATGCACCCCTAGTGACACACTTCCTCCAACATATTCCTACAAGGTCACACCTTTTGATTCATTTCAAGTAATGCCACTCCTTAGTGACTAAGCATTTGAATATATGAGCCTATGGGGATCATTCTTATTTAAACCATCACATTCCTCATCCCCCCTTAGGCTTATGGCCATATCAGGATGCAAAAGTACATTCAGTCCAGCTTCAGAAGTCCCCATAGTCTATCACAGTCTCTACACAGTTCAAACTCTCTTCTAAGACTCATGACATTCTCTCTCTTTTTTTTAAAGTTTATTTACACATATACAATGTTCTGACTGCATGTACACCTACAGGTCAGAAAAGGGCATGGGATTTCAACATAGATGGTTGTGAGCCACCATGTGGTTGCTGGGAATTGAACTCAAGACCTCTGGAAGAACAGCCACTGCTCTTAACCTCTGAGCCATCTCTTCAGCACCTCATACCATTCTCTTAACTGTAACCCTCTGTAAAATCAAAATCAAGAGCAGATCACATACTTCAACATACAATGGCACAGGGTATGCATTACCATTCTAAAGTGGAGGAAAAGGAGCATAGTGCAGAAATACTGGACCAAAGCAAGACCTAAATCCATCAGGGAAAATTCTATACTCTGCATCTCCCTGTCTGATCATCAGATCTCCAACTCCCTTTGTCTTTGTTGACTGCAACATGCTTCTCTCTTTTGGGCTTGTTTCACACATTGTTAGCATCTCTCCTTGGAAAGTATCCCATGACTTTAGTATCTATAGTTATTGGGATCCCCAACACAATCCAGGCTTCACCTTCACAGCTTCAGAGTGGTATCTCTGGGACTCTATGCCAAGATACCCCTGATATATAACTGACCTCAGCAACTTTTCTTAGCTGAAGAAAATGCCTCTACAGCCCCACTTTTGTATATTTCATGATAAAGCCATATAGCCAAAGCTGCCAAGTTATTCTGCTTACTGGGGTGAACTTGGCTCTAGCCTTCTGGTTTTGATGGTTTACTTTACTGCTTAAGATTTTCTTTAATTCATTTTCACATGTTGGAAGTTTAGCTGGGTGGGGTCATGTCCTGATGGGTCACCATTCCCTTTATTTCATATCATCAGGGTATTCTTTTTTTAAATTTTTTTATTAATAACAGTTTATTCACTTTGTATCTCAACTGTAGCCTCCTCCCTCATCTTGTCCCCTCCCAATCCTACCCTTCCTCCCTCTTCTCCACCCATGCCCTTCCCCCATTCCACTGATAGGGAAGGTTCTCCTCCCTTTCTAGCTGATCCTAATCTATCAGGTCTCCTCAGAAGTGGCTGCATTGTCTTCCTCTTGGTCTGATAAGGCTGCACTTTCCTCAAGGGGAAGTGATCAAAGAGCAGGCCACTTGTTTATGTCAAGACAACTCTTAATAAGACAACATTTAATTAGGACTGGCTTACAGTTTTATAGGTGTAGTCAATCATGGTAGGAAGTTTAGAGGTTTTATAATCATGGTGGGAAGCATAGCAGCATGCAGGCAGACATGGTGCTGGAGTAGCTGAGAGTTCTACACCTTGATCTGAAAGCAGCCAAGAAGAGACTCAATCCTACGCTGAGCTTAAATATATATAAGACCTAAAAGCCCACATATACAGTGACACATTTCTTCCAACAAGGCCACACCTCCTAATAGTGCCACTCCCTATGGTCAAGCATTCAAACACATAAATCTATGAGGGCCAAACCTATTCAAACCACCACAGTAGGCCATGAAGCCACTTGCACTGGGCCCCAACTATTCACATTGCCTTTAGCATCACTGTCTTCCATGCTCCTTCTATGATGGCCCAGTAAGCCCTGCTTAGAGCGTCCAACCACTTCTCTAGCTCTTAGTCCTAAAGTCTTTCATGTTCCTCCAAATAACAGAATAGTCAGGCCTGTCATAAAAATACCCCAACTGGTACCAACTTCTGTCTTAGTCATTGTTCTATTTCTATGAAGAGACAGCAGACAAAGGCAACTTTCACGAAAGAAAGCATTTAATTGGGAGATTGTTTACAGTTTCAGAGGTTTAGTCCATTGTCATCTTGGTGAGAAGCATGGTACCCTGAAGGCAGATGGTGGAGCAGGAGCTCTGAGATACATCCTGGTCCCTAGGCAGAGGTGAGAGGGAGGAAAGGAGGGAAGAAGGAAGAGAAAAAGAGCACCGTGGCCTGGAATGGGCTTTTGAAACCTCAAAGCCCAACCCCAGTGACACACTTCCTCTATCAAGGTTACACCTACTCCAACAAGGCTTCTAATCCTTCTCATTCTTTCAAACAGTGCTATCCCTGGTGACTAAGAATTCAAATATATGAGCCAATTGGGACTACCAATTGGCTACCACAGATGCTATATGTGAAAAAAAAAAAAAAACCCATATGTATAGAAAGGCCTTCATAGTTTTTTAAACATTTAGGTAACAGGCTGGCAACACTCACATGCAGGCACCAGAACTTACTTAGATGAGCTTGTTATTACTGTAATTAATAACTGAGGGCCAGAGACATCATTTGGATACTCTCCATAGATAAAGAAGCATGTACGTAGATGATACCAAAAAAGTACATAAAAAAGTTTTATTAAAAACATCAAAAATCTAAAGTTTAGAGTATCTAGTTTGCTGAAATTCATAGTTATTAAACAGTAGAGCTGTGATCTGACTCCAAAGTTCACCCTCTACCCTGGCACAGGAGACCTGATGTTCCCTCCCTCTTGTCCATGAATTACACTTCCTAGACCTCCTCAAAGAGGAGGTGGAAGAACAGAGTGGGTGGCAGAAGCTCACCAACTCATAGAGTCCTCCATGCCCCCCTAACTTGGAGCAAACTAACATTCTGTTGTGTCACACTGTACTGTTTCTTAAGTCAATCTTATCCCATTAAGGTACAATCTTTAACCTAAGAAGTAACACAGGAGTAAAGTAAAGAAAGCAAAGGCTGCAGAAAACAAGACAGTTGCCCTGTTGGTCTCAATGTCCTACATGTAGGGATTAAATATAAAAAAAGTAATGCCCTACAATATAACTGGTAGCATAGATCTTTTTGAAAACCTAGGGGAAGACCAGAGATAAGATGCATGGCTACACTAGTGCAAACGACTTTCTTCTCAAAAAACAACAATGAAATGGTAGACGGGAAAATTCATAATAGTAAATAAATATCAAACTGGGGCTGTAGAGATGGCTTGTGGGTAAAATGCTTACTGTGTAAATATGAGATACTCAGTACTGTGTACAACCCAGGTGTGGGAGTATACAGCGCTAATTCCAACAGTGGGTAGAGGTAGAAATGGGTAGATTCCAGAGGCCTGTGGGGCAGCTAGTAGAGCCAAAAAAGTTGAGTTCCAATGTGCTGGCCAGTATTATGTCAACTTGAGAGGAGGGAATCTCAGTTGAGAAAATGTTGTTGTAAGATGTGACTGTAAGCAAGCCTGTGGGAAAATTTCTTAAATAATGATTGATGTGGGAAGGCCCAGAGTTGTGGTATAATGATATTTACTATTGATATATCTTTTAGTTAAATAAGTTATTCCTAAACAGCTGTATAACCAAATCACCACACAGAGACTGGGATTTATTTAATTAACCTAGAGCACAATGCTGGGCAATGATTATTTCATCCTAAACCTCTAAGCCCACATAGTTTCCTACCATTTAGATTTCACCCATTATACTTGCTTTTAGTCATATCTTAGGTCCGGTTCATTTCTCCACGTAGTTCCAAGACCTCTCCTGCAGATTCTCCCTTCTCCTCTTCCTCTTCCAGACCAGGATGTCCCACACTATCCTCTCCATTGCTCAGCATTGTGGCTGGTTGTTTTAATTGACAATATAGAGAACAAATGGTGGCGTGTTCACACAAACTTGAGACACTAAGCATCACATGTCGGGATTGAAACCAGAGAGTGGGGGAGAGAAATCAGCATTTGAATGAACAAGGTAAATTGTATACATTCTAAAAGAACATTATACCAACAGCCTAGCCCATTGTGGGTGGGGCCACCCTTGGGCTGCTGGTCCAGGATTCTGTAAGAAACCAGGCTGAGCCAGCAAGGTGGTGCATGTCTGTAATACCAGTACTCGGAGAGGCAGAGGCAGGAGGATCTCTGTTAGTTCGAGGTCAGCCTGCTCTACAAAGTGAGTCCAAGACAGCCAAGGCTACACAGAGAAACACTGTCTTGAAAACAACAACAACCACAAAAGGAAAAAAAAAGAAAGAAAGAAAGAAAGAAACCATGCTGAGCAAACCATGGGAAGCAAACCAGTAGGCAACATCCCCTCATGGTCTCTGCATCAGGTGCTCTTGCCTCTAGGTTTCTGTCCTGCTTCAGTTTCTGCCCTCACTGGCTTTGATGACAAACTGTTATAGAGAATTGTTAGTGAAACCTTTCCTCTCCAACTTACTCTTGGTCATGGTATTTCATCACAGCAATACTAACCTTAGGTAAGACATCAGTGTCACAAAATATAAAGATGGAAGCAATTGAAGATGCTTAGTACTGACCTCTGGCCCTCACAGGAATGCTCACAGGTAAGCACAAACACACACAAAACACTCAATTAATTAGATTAAGTTAAACCATGTGTATCTTTTTATCAGATTGGCCTGATTTAAAACTTTCAGGTTTCTTTACCTTGCAGAGGAATTCTGTCCCATGATTCACAAGTGTGAGATGCTGAACATCAAATTTGTTTTTTCCTTATTAAATGAATCATGATTTCACTTGTCACCT